CTGCAAGGAAACTAGTACTTGGCAATCTACTGCACACCAGATTCCGGTGAGATATGTACCAACAGAACAATAAAAAATCAATATGCAAATGGAGTTAGTGACCAAGGAATGCTTTCAACAAAAGGAAAAGGGAGTCGAGGCCTTTGTTTTTTTGATAAACTTATTCATTTTATTTGCGTATGGGACTCAGGGACAGTGGTGTTGCCAGCTGCTGTGGTTGTTCTGCAATTTTAAATTTGGCATAAAGACAGGGTGACTTCGTCTTTGTTTACTGTTTATCCTATTCATGTACGTACTGCAAGGATTCAGGGAAGATTCATGATATGTTACATTGAGCAAAGACCGGGGAGATAAAGTCTGTTTGACTTTCCCAGATAAGACGCAGCTGCACATTGCATTGCCTCCTCAATTTTCTAATAACAACAAAAACGACATTCTTCAGTTGCATAAAAGGGTAGGCTCTTGAATATTGAGAATCTCCATGAACCACCAGAACACAGAAGACTAAAACCTGTGTTAAAATTCAAGATGAAGGACCAACGAACCGACATTTTTCTCCCACCATCACCATTTTTTTCTATTTAGCCTTGGCGGCACTGCCCTGCTACCTGCATTAGAAAACTCTCAAGCATAGTTTTAGAAGACTTGGGCTATCAATTATAAAAGCAGCTATATGTGATCAGAATTCCTCTGAATATGATGTTTGACAAAGCAAGAGGCCAACAATTTTTGTGTCAATATTACATAATGGCAGGCAAACAGAGAGAGAAAGCAACGCTAATGTCCATCTTTTTATTGCTACAAACATAATACGATGTTCATACACACTTAACTTGCAGAGCAAAATCCAAGGAAACAAATTTTCAACAATCAACAACATTGACAGTGCATTTTATTTTCTTTCTTTATTGACTTGAATTTTCTCGTTCTACACTTCTTGATCTGAAAGTTGTTCTGCCCTCTCCTGTTTCTTCTTTCAGATACGATTCCTTCTATTTTGCTTCTTTCTCGGCTTTCAGTCCTGCCGTCTCCTTCACCAATTCAAGAGCCTTGATCAGACTTTCCAGGCAGATTTCAGCATCCCCTGATATAGTTTTTGGCATCAAATGCCCTGCCACCTTGGCCGGGGTCATCTGGGCTTCTTGTAACAGTTCACCAACCCTGGAAAATAAATGGTGTGACTCTAGTTTCAGATACCTATTAGCTAACACCTTGAATCCTTCAAATCCACAGTATGACATTTCTATATATTTATCCATCCTTCCATCCCGAATCAGAGCTGGATCTAGTTTTTCAACATGATTTGTTGTAAAGACGATAATTCTTTCTCCCCCATAAGCTGACCACAACCCATCAATGGAGTTTAGCAGCCCTGAGAGAGTAACCCGGCTACTTTTTGAATCTCTTTCATCTTTAAGAGGGTTTTGCTTTGGATCCTTCATTTCTTCTTCCTCTTCCTCTCTTATTGTCTTTCTCCGATTGGTGAGATTAAGTGAACAATCTATATCCTCAATAACCATAACAGACTTGTTTGATACATCCATCAACAGCCTCCTCAGCTCAGTGTTATCCTTCACACCAGTCAGTTCGAGTTCATAGATATCATAGTTTAAAAGATTTGCCATGGCAGCAATCATGGAGGACTTTCCAGTACCTGGAGGACCATAAAGGAGATAACCCCTCTTCCATGCCTTCCCAATTCTTGCATAGAGCTCTTCTGCTTTGCTGAAGCTGATCAAGTCCTCCATGATTTCCTGCTTCTTCTCTGGTTCCATTGCTAGCGTCTCAAATGTTGTTGGATGTTCAAACACTACAGAGCTCCACATCCCATCATGGTTCATATACATCTTCCTCTGTCTTTTCCTGATCTCAATCTCCTTACCCTCTTTTAAGACATGATCCAGATAAGGTCCTATGATGAGATCCCGGTGTTGTTTGTGAAAAGTAAGCTTGTAATGCCGCTTCTCATCTGTAAAAGGATAGAGAGAAAAAGGCTGCTGCTTATTTGAAATAGACTTACCAGAATACCACCAGAGTTTCGCTCCTTCAAATTCATCGGTAATCTCTTCATAATCATCCATGCTGAGAATAAGGGACTGCTTGTTCTTTGTCATTTCAGCCCTGAGCCGCTTTGCGTGCATGGAGGAACTAGAGCTGAGATAGTTTTGAATAGCAGAGTGAGCTTCATTGCGCATCAGTCGCTCTCCAATGAACTCATGGAAGGTAACATGGACGTAAGGGGAAAGAGAACCCACCCATCTCTGGCAGTAACTTTGAATGAAGCTTTGAAGTGAATATGGGAGGTATGGCCGGAAAAAAGGCCAGAAAAGCATTAAACTGCCAATTGTGGATGCTAGAAAAGCATACAGCTCTGGGGGTGTCATGTCTCTAATTCTTTTACAATGACTCACACACACACACACACACAAATCAGTGCATGTATTTATATTCAGAAAGATAAATGGAATTAAGCTTCAGGGATAAGTAAAAGTCATCAAGGTGTTGACAGGTCTTAAAGATATGTTTGTAAATTTTCTGTTTATTTCTGTAATGCTTATTGTTTTTTGAGTGCCGTGCAAACCTGTGATGCCAGGGAAAATTCTATGCAGTTTCCAGATGAATATTCGTTCCTAAGGAGACTAAAACATGGCATTATCGATTGTATAAGCACTTAGAAACTGTTTATAAAAGAATTGCAGGCAAAGTAATAATCCAATAAAAACAAAAATCAGGCAGCAAATTAGAATCTAAGAAGAAATTAAAGCCAAAAACAAGAACAGTTTAGTAAACCTAACCTAGTCTGCAGCATCAGCTGGAGTGATTTTGGTATCCTTCAATAAATCAGCAACCATGTGAACCGAGATCCAAGTAATTCTGTGCTGCTGCCTTGAATGATTCAACTCAGCAGTAGGGAAATCCAACAAGCATGTCCGTTCGTCGATTATCTTCTCCTTCCTTGCGAGATCCATTGACAGCGTCACCGGATTCTCAAAACTCGCGTGATTTCACAAATTCTTCCTGTAATCATACGAATATTGTCACTAGGGTTGTCTACATGAAACTCCTCTCGTCTTTCTAGTTTCACGGCCCAGAATCAGATCCCGCCGCCGGCGTCTGCTGGTGGTCTGAGCAGATAGTCGTTTTTTGGAGAAAGAAAGATGATGATGCTGATTTTTTTCTTTTATTTAGGGTTTCTTTAGTAATTGTCCTTTTAAAAAAAATTTACAAAGACAGATTATAAATTAAAAATATAATTTGAATCGGTTTTTCGGAATCTGTCCTCCACCATATAAATTTTAGGTTTAATACCCAATTTGGTCCCTAAACTTTCTTTTTGGAACTTAGTTCGTCCTTTAACTTCAGAAAGGACCCAAATCATCCTTAAACTTTATTTTTCCAGAACCCAGACGATCCTTCCATCACGGAATTGCACACATGGCAAGTTAAGTCTCCTCCAATTATCTTTTTTAATTTTTACAAGCTTATGTGGACAATACATCTCACCCAATTGATGACATGGCAACATTGTCTCTCTCTTTGTCGATGCAGAACAACCCCCCTTCTAGATTCACTCTTACTTCTAGGTTTCTTCCAACCTGGGGAGATTCTATCCAGTAATTCTCGGGGAAATCAACTTGAAGTTGGTAGAAATCGAGCATATGAAATCGAGAGGGAGTGGTGAGGAAGAGAAGTACCCAATCATGGTCATCTTGAGAGAGGGCTTCAGAGGGATAGAAGAGAGCAAGATGGAGTCATCAGAGAGCTTGTTTTCGATTTTGGGGTAGAGAAGGTTCTGTCGCTTGCTCAAAACATTAGTGAGTTTACAGATTCTGCACCTCAACTCGGCCACCGAGTTGTCGCCGCAGACTTGCACAATATACTCTTTGCCGCTCCATTTTATTATCAGCGTTAGCCCTTCCTCTGTCGCCGACAAAGAGGCAGCCGTGGAGTATATGTGTTTGTGAAAATTTTACAAGAAACAATCTATTCTCTTCTAATCGGACGAGCACCGCACACAAATCTATCTCCTGCCATGACCGCAATCCCTGCAAAAACAAACAGGAAAAAGAAAAAGGCACTATCTAAAAGACCCAAAAAACCATCTACCTCTGAAGATTATCAGTGACTTGGCGTTTGAAACCGGTGGGAGGGTTGACCTGCCACTCTACTAGCTCCTTCTAAAGGTGATTGCAAGCAATCTTACTCAGCACCTAACAGCATCAGAATTCCATAATTTCAACATAGAATACACCAAAAAAAAAAAACAAAAACAAAAAAAATCAAAGAAATAAAGAAATCTAGAGATATTGTATCTCATGCATATGTAACACAAGATGGGAAGAAAAGGAGAGAATTGGAAGCGAACCTTGTGAGCGACGGCGGAGGAGAAGCTGGTCATGCTTTTGCCGTCAGTTCTTCCGGCAAAATCAATTGAGAGAAAAGTGGAAAGAGGAACAGAGTTTTTTGGTTTTTATAGGCTGGAAGAAATATCCCACTGTTTTATTGTTTTATTTTATTTAGAAAGCTGGAGATTGTCATGTCATAAATTAGGTGAGGTGTATTGTCCACATAAACTTGTTAAAATTGAAAAAAAGGTAATTGGAGGAGACTTAATGTGACACGTGTGCAGTACTATGATGGAAGGACTGTTTGGGTTCTAAAAAAATAGAGTTTAAGGATGATTTGGGTGCTTTCTGAAGTTAAAGGATGAATCAAGTTCTAAAAAGAAAGTTTAGGGACCAAATTGTGTATTAAACCTAAATTTTAATGTACTCAGGTTAATGGTTAAACCCCTAATTTGGTGTTTGAATTATTGTATGGACCTTGATTTAGTTCCTAAATTAAAAAAATCCTTGATTTAGTCCCTGAGCTATTATATGGACCCCAGATTTGATTCATACTGTTTACTAATTTACCTCAAGTTGATCTTTCCATATAAAGAATAGTTGACTTGTCTATTACTTAAAAATAAAAAATAGTAATTTAATAACAAAAAATAATAACTTAATGATTACATATCATGTTAATAACAAAAACATGTTAATTAGTTTTTATACGAAAGAATCAACTTAGGATAAATTGATAAACAATAGAGATTAAATCAAAAAATAATATAATAATTTAAG